CCTAGGGTCCTGTTCAGGTTCAAACCTGCCCCCAAAGGATTGCTTGTGTTTCCTCGCTTAATCTGGGCATTACCCTTGTATCTCCTCTTAAAGGAAATATTATGCCTCTCTCCCTTCGAAGGTGTGTGGAGCACAGCAAGGCAAGCACCTCCTACACAGCCAGTAAACGCGACCTGTTCCTGACTGGCCTGAAACTTAGGCTGAAAACAAATCAGTTACTCTGGGATAAGTTGTCTCTAGCTATAGCCCTTAGTGATTACTTTATACAATGAAACAGGTATTTCTGACAGACGTACATTTTGGAAGACCGGCTGTAGGAATCTGCTCTTACTTTTCTGTATTTTCCAGCCTCCAAAGCTGCTCACTGACCGTGTCCCGAACAGCGAAGTACTAGTTCTGATCCTGTGCGAGGAGGGATGACGTGCTAACCCTGACATTAAAGGAAGGAGCAGACAAGTACTGTCTATAGATGAATGAACCTTAATAGCAGTATAGGTTCTGCTCTTCTGGGTACATAAATCTTACTTATTACAAGCCCCAAGTTTGTGACTTTTATGACTTCAGCTCCATTTACCTGTGCAACAGGCAGTTGCAGCTGTGATGCCCAGTGGTAGCACAGCCGCAGAAATCATTAAGGACGCTCTGCATGTATCACCATGCAGGGAGACTGCGACTTCTTCCACACAGAGCGATGTGTGGGACAGATGTTTGGGGGAAGTGACAGTCACGTCCCGGGCTCCATTCCTGACTGCTGGTGACTCATTAGGAGAATGACTTCTGCTTCTGTTTCTGAGCCCGTTGACGCCACCTAATTTCCACTGGGTCTGTCAGTCCATTCAGGAGCGCAGCAACCCCTGCTAGGAACTGCCACCCTGGCTTGGGAATTGCTACTGCAGAGGTCATTAGAAAGCTTTATTAATAATCATTGCATTAACCTCCCAGCTAGCCAGTGACAGAAATACCATTTCTCCCATTTTATAGCTGAGAAAAATGAAGTGTAGACAAATTCATCACCTGGTTACAGAGTCAATGGGAACTCTTAATGGTCCATAAATCTGAAAATTAGACTGTCAGCAACTTCTCCTAAAGCTAACCTGCAGCAAAGCTAT